CCTACTAACGGAATTAAATACTTTCAACTGTTTGGATAGAGCTATGTCTTTGTTTTCCATAAACTGGCGCCAAATCAAATTCAAACCCACCTTGGCTTTCTCCAGTTTTTCTGCCAGGTGTTTGAACATTGAGAGAGTAGGCGTGAGAACTATTCCTAAGTATTTGTACTGTTGAACTACGTCTATACTTTTGTAGCCCATGAACCATTTTTTTTTACGTGATGGCTTACCGCCATTGCGAAAGACCATTATTTTACATTTTTCGAGATTTATTCTGAGATTCCATTGTTTACAGTATTCGTCTAGTAAAGTTATATTAATCTTTAATGTCGTAGGATGTGAAGATAGGAGAACAATATCATCCGCAAAAGCCAGATATTTAATTTTACAATTTTCCTCTACACAAATACCAAGATCTAAATTTTCTTCCAAATCATTTAAATATAAAGAAAATAGAATCGGACTAAGCAAAAAGCCTTGTCTTATACCCGATTCCATACTAAATGGTTTCGTCAAACCATCCAAACCCCAAACTGAAGCATTAGTATCGCTAAGCAAACTTTTAATTGAATTAATTAATTTAGATGAAAATCCTAGCTGATATAATTTTTAAATTAGACTATAACGATCCACACCATCAAATGCTGTAGAAAAATCTACACAAATGCATAAACTATTTCCGTTTTATTTTGTAATTTTAATTTAATTAGACTCGTTAATGTGAATATGTTATCGATTGTTGAATATTTTTTTCTAAAATCAGCCTGAGCTTCTTTAATTATATTGTTTTCATCAATCCAGTCCAGAAATCAAGCTTGTATATAACTTGGCAATTGCATTAATGAAGAGACTCGCTCTGCCCGTGAAGCAGTACAGTTCAGATACGTGATAGTTTTCGATTTTATAAATTTAAAGTGAAATAATTTGAAAAACGTGACTAATGGATACCATACCTATTAAGGATTTATACCACTATATTTCAATTTGGTGATAAGTTATGAAGTGGCTTGTGAAGTGGCTGCGGAAAAATAAGGTGAAAATACTTTCATCGAGATTCCTTATTCCAGACAACTGTTACAAGCAGCAGGTTGATAAGTAATAGTGAAAAATACATCAGATATCATAGCCGGTGTGACATCCCCTCCACCTACCTCATCAGCTGGTGAGAAATTCTGATTACCAATACATTAGAAACGATGTAATTTATAATAAAATGGCTCCTTCTATAACGCTAGAGGACATTATGACTGAAATAAAAATAAACACAAAAAACACTGAATCCATTGGAAACGATCTCTGTCAAATAAAACAAGCAATATCCCAAATAATTGAGGAACTTCAAACTGATAAAGTTAAACAGGTCTTATTAGAAAAGAAAGTAGAGATGCAGGAGAAATTAATAAATAATCTAAGACGAGAACAAATTAAAAATAATACAATCATATTTAAAGTTCCTGAGCCTCAAAGAGAAGAGCCAGAAGATGTCTAAGAAACATTAAAAACTTTATTTAATCGAACTGAGACAAACTTATCTGTCAAGGATATTTCATATTGCCGGAGACTAGGGAGAGGTGAGGCCCCTAGGCCAATTTTAATTTCATTTGTTAGCCGTTGGGACAAAATGGATTTGTTTGAAATGAGGGATAAGCTCAGTGAAATTAATGGTTCTATAGCTCATGATCGAACATTCTTGGAGCGAAAAATAAGAAAAGATTTGTATGAAGCTTTAAAAAAGATACAAAAAAAAATAGATGACAAATCTGTTATTATTAAAAATAAAATCAAATTTAGAGGGGCCCTATATTCCCTTGATGAATTTCATTCCATTTTAAGTCCACCAGATTTTCAAAAATGTACTGATGAAAATTTACCGCCAGATGATGAAAATGCTGGTAAAAGAAAAGCCAAAGACAAACTAGAGTCATTCCGTTTTCGCCCCAGAACATCTTCTCACTGATAATAATCCGCTCAAGATAAATATGAAGTTGCTATCAGTAGAATGAAATTTCACTGTTGATTATCAGATTTTTTTCGGAACACATGACGATTATTACGTCTTTCAAAATTAAAAATACGGTAATTGAACAGTCTACTTTACCACTTCTCCCAAAAATTAATTTAGTTGATAATTTAGGGTAGATAATTTAGTTAACCGTTTATCTGTAAATGAGCATTCGGTAGAAGATTTGATAGAAATTCTCTCAAATATCATCAAGAGGTATGCTAATTATAATCCTTATCCAAGATCCGTATATAGAAATAAAATTCCATGGTTTGATAATGAGTGTTTCTAGGCTAGAAAGATGTCATTTATAAGTTTAAAGTTATTCAGAAAAACTTCGTCCCCTCACATTAAATTACAGTATTTAAATTCAAATAGTAATTATAAGAGTATATGTTTATTTAAAAAAAAGCAATATTATATAGATTGTGTCCAGCTTCTGAATAAGGTTAAAAACAGTAAAGTGTTTTGGGAACTTGTAAAAGTATTTTGAAAATGTAATTACTGGTCTGTTGCTAATATATCATTACAAGATTGGCTTATGCATTTTAAAACTCTGTACAACCCTCCGTTAATTTCAAACAGAATTTTATACGTTGAACCTAATATTACTAATGCTATTTAGATAGACCCTTCTCTCTTGGTGAGTTGAAAGCGGTTTTGGGTAACTCTAAAAATAACAAGGCACCAGGCAGTGAGAGGATTCCTTATGAATTTTACAAGAATGCTCCCAATTCCTTTTTGAACATTTTATTGGCTACATTTAATAGAATTTTTAAAATGGGCTATATCCCTTTAACATTTCAAAAATCCATAATTTTCTCATTATATAAAAAAGGGGATAAAAATTTGACTTCTAATTACCCGGGAATCTCCAGTATTTTGTTTACACACACACATATATATATATATATATATATATATATATATATATATATATATATATATATATATATATATATATATATATATATATATTTAAACTTAACTGTTTAATTGGGAATAAGGTCACTTATCAATTATTTAATAAACTATTCATTTCTTTTATGTTTATTGACGTTTCGATCCCGGTATTTTCTTTTTATAAGTCAACGATGGGATCCTCTTCAAAGCTAGAATTTTAAAGGGGACCCTACACGGTCAATCGGAATTGCACTAATGACGTTCCGAATTGTCGTGTAAGGTAGTGAATGGAAGTACTGATGGTGGTGCGCTGCGGATTTCCGAACATCCGGAAATCAAAGGTTCATTCATGAGAAATGGAGGGGGTACTGATTTAAAAATGGCGACGAGTCTCTCCGTAGCGTCGTTAGTTGTTTATTTGAGCTCAGCTGATCAACAAAGTTGGTTTAGGAATATAAGATATAGGAATATATAAGAATATGGACCAATTTACTGATTATATTGAAGTAAGCAATGACGAGCTAGCTAGAGAAGAAGTCTCTTTATTGAAGCTTACGAAGACTGTCCCGAACTGTGGAACAAATCCAACAAAAATTATCTGAATAAGTATAAAAGGCAGGCAGCCTTACAAAAATTGTTATCAATTTACAAGTATTCTTGAAATCATTAACCTTTTTTTTAATTGTCTGTTAAATTATATTTTTTTAATATTTAGTTTTAATGGTTTTTGTCAACTTTTTTTCTTTTAATATTTAAAATGTACTCTTTAAGTTCTTTTCTTTTAATATTATTTTTAGTTTTTTAAACGTATTTTTAGTTTTTATTCCTAAATTCATTAACCTTTATTTGAATTGTCTTTGTCAACTAATCTTTTAATCTTTAACTTTCAATTTTCATTACTTTAATTCAATGCTACCATCATATTCAAATGTAAGCATTCTTACTCTTCTTAACTTAAAATTTTTATTTATTAGCTGTAGTTTTATTATGTATGCCTTTGTTGTAGTTGATCCAATTGAAATATAGAGCGAAAATGACCCTGGTGGTTGAAGAGTCTAAAACTTTTTTTTTTTTTTTTTTATTATGGTTTTATACAACTTAAGGAGTCATATCCCCAATACCCAAAAGCCACTGCTCCCTGTCCATCCAATCTCCTTCACAAAGCCCTCTGGCTGCCATGCTTTCCTCCACGTCCTCTATCCATTTCTTCTTTGGCCTTCCACGCTTCCTTCTTTCAGGTGGCATATAGTTATAAATTTTCTTTGGCCAGCGGTTCTCATCCATCCGCATTAAGTGGCCATACCACTTTAACCGTTTGGTCCCGATCAGGTGAAGGATGTTCTTTAGTAATATTGGCACAATTAACATCAATGTCCATTAACTAATTGGAGTTATCAAATTAGTAATGTTTTCATTTTAAGTGCATTTCATGATAATTCTATGTTGTAATTATATTAAATATTCAAGTTTTTTAATTAAGTTTTCTTTGTTATGATTGCTTAATAATTTTTGTCTGGTTTATAGTAGTGTCTGTTACTACAGTATATAGGATGTCCTGTAAGTAGAGGTAAATATTTATAGGAGGGATAGCAGACAGACCTCAATAGTCACAAAAAAGTTCATATAATCAATGGGCCAAATTCCAGCAGAAAAGTAGGAAGTCCAAGTTTTGTGTTCTTTTATAATAGGAAGTGATAATTAAAGAAAGGTTAATAAATCCCCAGCAATAAACACATTTATTTTAGAAAAAAGTTAAATATAAAACAATAATGAAATTGTTCTAAAAATACAAAGGACTGCATTGAAAATTTAGACTAAGAATTAAATTATTATCTAATATGAATATCAATGAAATTTTTTGCTGTATAAAAATTCTTGTTTTGTACTTAATGCTTATTTTAAAAAAATGTGTTTATTATTGGAGAAATCTTGTTGATAAGATTAATAACAGAGGTATGAAGTTATTATTAAAAATTGATTAAATTAAAAAAAATATGTAACAAAGAATTGATACTTATTTTATATTACTATTAGTATTTTTGATATATCTGTCAGTAGTTATTGGATAAAAACAGCCACTGAGGAGTTGATGTTTATGTTGCAGGAATCTCGAGTTGAGGAACATTGTGATGAAGAGCAACCTTTAACATCGTTTTCATCTTTGGGGGTATTTGAACCCCCAAATAAGAAAAGGAAAAAAGGGCAAGGCACCTCAGCAAAACAAGACGAGCTCTTACAAGTGGCTTGTAATTTCTTAAAATCTAAACAGAAACCTCCGCCCCTTGATGACTGCGATTTGATAGGTAATTTGTGGGCTGTCAAGTTGAGAGCGATGTCTCCTTTAGATAGGAAGACTGTAGAGAAGAAAGTAAATGATTTCATAGCTGAAGTGGACATTGAAAGACTTTCTGTCAATCCTCTATGTATTGATATACCTCGCCAAACGCAGAGAACCATATCCGGTTCCTCCACTGTCTCTGCATCTTCAATGACAAATATCTTGTGTCAAGAAGATTCAATCGAATGTGTTGCAACGTTTTTTTCTAATTATAATGATGACTAATTATAAACTTTTTCATCAATTATGAATTTTGTTTATTAATAATAATGTTTTACATGTATTATTTTTTTGTTAATCGTTATATAGTTAAAATGTAAAATATATATAGGAGAGAAGAATAGTTGGGGTGATCAGTCAAATAAGAAGGCAAAAATAAATTATACTATTTATTTTTACATTAGCTGACGTTTCGACCTGAAGTTCAGGCCATCATCAGAGCTGATTACGGAGATGTAAATCTACGCAATACACACTGTCTGTGACCGCAACACCAACCCAGTATTTATTTGATTGCGTAGATTTACATCTCCGTAATCAGCCCTGATGATGGCCTGAACTTCAGGTCGAAATGTCGGCTAATGTCAAAATAAATAGTATCATTTATTTTTTCCTTCTTATTGGACTGATCATCCCAACTATTCTTCTCTTCATTATTCACGACAGTCAACCACTTACCAATTCTAAAATATATATATGTGTGGTTGGGGTTGCAGTCAGAGATAACACAAACTGAAATAAAAATCTTTTGTTTTGTGTTCTCTCTGACTGCAATCCCAACCAACAATGTAATATGTATATAATAATGTAGGTAATTTTATTAAATATTAATTTATTTTTATTAAATTATTATAATTTTATCAAAAATAAATTTTCTGTAATATATGTATATAATAATGTAATTAATTTTATTAAATTATTATAATTTTATCAAAATCTAGTTTTCTGTAATATATGTATATCATCATCATCATCATATGTGGCACGACATCCCGTTACCGAGACTGGGCCTCCTCCAAGAGCCTCCGCCAGTTGGCTTCTGCTGCAGCTCTCCAGTTCCGTACACCAAGCAGGGTTCTCGCATCATAAGCCACTTTGTCCAACCACCTCGTCCTCGGCCTTCCTACCCGTCTTGCGAGGTGCAGCTCCTCCATCATTATTTTCTTGGGTATCTCAACGGTGCTCATTCTGGCCACATGCCCTGCCCACCTTAATCTGGCCAGTTTAATATACGTGACTACGTCGATGTCTGTATAAAGAGAACTGAGCTCCCTATTTTTTCTTTTCCTCCAGACATCACCCTCTTTTACTGGACCATAAATCCTTCTGAAGACTCCTCGCTCAAACACACTCAGCTTCATCTCATCGTTTTTAGTCATAGTCCAAGCCTCTGAGCCATATGTCAAAACAGGCCGTACAAGGGTCTTGTATATGATCAGCTTGGTCTTCTTTGGGAGATACCTACTTCTTAAGTGCCGGCCAAGTCCAAAGACACATCTATTGGCAGCCGTGATCCTTCTCTGTATTTCTTGAGCCATGTCATTTTTGCTATTAATTTCAGACCCAAGGTATATAAAACTTTTCACTCTCTCAAACTTAAAAGAACCTACCTCAAATGGAGAGTTCAGATCCACCTCACCACCAACTCTCATATACTTAGTTTTCCTCTCGTTGACTTCTAGACCAAGTGGTCTAGCAGCTGCTTCAAGGCCTATAAACGCTTCTCTGAGAGCCCGTTCTGACCTACCTATTATGTCAATATCATCAGCAAAACCAAGAAGCTGTGTCAGGCGATTGAAGATTATATCACTGGTCTGAATACCGGAGTCTCTTACAGCTTTCTCCTCTGCCAAGTTGAACAATAGACAGGCGAGAGCATCCCCTTACCTTAATTTTATTAAATATTATTTTTTTTATTAAATTATTATAATTATATCAAAATCTAGTTTTCTTTTAACGTGCATGCCATACACACCTTTGTTTTCTATTTTTATTTGTATCTTTTACGCATGTAATATTTTAACTTGACTGTCACCCACTACATTTGTGATGTCATCTAAATTATTACTTACACTTACCTATATATGTAATATATATAAACCAGTATCTAATATAGGAAGTTGTAAAAGGTAACAAAGAGTTGAGGAAAAAGTATAAATAACATGTTTTCAAGAAAAATGAATGAAATTTTCTTAGTAAATATAAACTTTTAATATATTTTTAAGTTTGAAATGTATTTAAAACCCACAGATTCAAGGAAATGACATTCTTTAAGATACTATTTCATGGATATATTTACTGTAGTTTAATAACTCTAGATCTGACATTATTTTTAAATCATTAGGTGTCTTATCGTCCATTTATTCCAAAAAATCAGTATGTAACCTTTTAGAAAATTAAATTAGTGAATATTTGACAAGTTTTCCATTTGGGATATTTAAACAGAATCCACTTACAATCAGTGTGATAACTTTTGACCTCTCTGTGACAGACAATGCAAATCTCTCTATTCCGTTTTAGTCAACTTTGCAATGAAAAATAACAGTTTAATAACTATATTCGTACAATCTATAATTAATAGGACTTTTGTTATTTTAATGGTATTTATGATTTGTTAGTTGTAATCCTTTTGCTTCAGCTCAGTTAAGAATGAAATTAAAAAATCTTTTAATAGCCCAACATGGCAAAAAATAATTTCTATTCAAAATTGAGTATGGAGCACACTAGATTTTTTTCTTTATCAGACAACTATTTCTTATCTACTTATAATTCATTTATTTTTCACCATGTTCCTTTATATTTTGAAGCCCTGATGATGACCTACAAAGTGGGTCAAAACGTTGGCGAACGATTAAAATACTATTTTAAATATTTAGTATTTATTTGAGCATAACCCTTCCCCTCCAACTCCTTAATAATGTAGATCATTTTATGTAAATGTTGATTTTATAATAAATAGCAAGTTGATTGTATTCATTATTTCAAATTATTTATTTATTAATGCATGATGTCAATTGGTTAAAAGGAAATATAATTTATCAATCATAGTAACACAATATTTTGTTTTCACTAAGAGAAAATTGATCTATGTACTAAGGTATTTAACTTTATAAAATGTTACTAATTGACTTACTGCAAGATCAACAAAATTGCAGATACTGCCTATAATGTTAAATACCTGCACCATAGAAATAACTAATTATTGTTATTTTCTTAAAGTGGGGATAAAAAATACAAAAATATTTAAATATATATATAAATTATTATAAACATATTACTCATAATTATGTTGAACCTTCAGTCTATTCCTTTCATAAAATAATTTGAAAAATCATTTCTTATTTCCTTTGCCTCTGATGGGCTGTTTCTAGGTCTCAAGGTTTCTAATTCGATCAAATGATATCTTTCCATGGGTTCCACAATTGGAGGCAAATAATTTGTCTCATTCTCTTCCATCAAAAAGTTGTGAAGATAACAACTTGCTAAAGTTATGATACTTGCCTTTCTTGGTTCAAGGAACATTTTATTTACGAGAACCCTAAACAGTCCAGTTAAAATACCGAAAGCATTTTCAACTACTGAACGTGCAGATGACAGTGTTTTGTTGAACTTGACATGTCGTTCATTATCGAGGTCATTTTTTGCATAGGGTTTCATTAAATGTTTGTTAAGAGCATTCATCTGCAATAAAAACGTAAGGCAACTTTGGATTTCCTGTTAAAAGTGGGAGATTCAAATGTTCTTTTTGAAACATTGAGTGAAACATGACCCCTCCATCTGATATAGCACTATTAGTGCCAACATCTACCATGATAAATTTTTTTTCTGAGCTGACAACTGCCAGCAATACAATGCTGAAAAAATGCTTGTAGTTATAATAGAAAGAGCCTGAATGCATTGGTTTTTTTATATTGATGTGTTTTCCATCGATGGCTCCAACACAGTTCTTAAATTTGAACCTTGCTTCAAATCCATCACTGATTTCTTCCCATTTCTCAGGGGTATTAGGCATCTGAAACAAATAAATGTATCTATTAAATAAAAACAACCAGTAATGAGTTAATGATCAAGTGTTAGCAACTTCATTGAATTCACTATTGCAATTGAAGCTTCATAAGTACAGATACTTATATACATAGCCAAATAGAAAGGGCTGCTTCAGGTGGCTAATGATTCCATTAAAACTAATTGAAGTGGGGTGTAATTAATATTATTTTGGTTTAACAAGGCTGGGATTTTTATGGAATTGAACATTTTGTTTGCATAGTTTTATAACTGAAGATATGGGTAAACATATATTTACGTTTAAGTGTATCCAGATTATATTAATCAAATTTTACTATGCATATTACATAATAACTGCAAAATTTGATTATTTCAAATAAATGATAATAGCAATTACAAAGAATAAATTTAAATGTAACAGAAATTTCATAATAACATCAGAGGTTCATTTTCAATCAACAAACAACTACAAATTAAAGGCAGCTTGAGTAATAAACTTTTTTATAAAAATTTAAATTATAAAAAATTTTTATCTCTTTTTCTTATTTCTTTAAGACTCCACATCACACTTAGTGACAATTTCTAACTTTGTTTACAAGGAATAATATTTTTTATTGTTTAAAGTGCATCGTTTTATCAACAATGAAATACCAAATTGACTTGTAAAATTGAAAGATTGTATCTATGGAATGAATATGTTGATAAAGAAAATAATTCTGATAATCCTTTCAGAGCTGCTTATGAAAGATGCACCATGTTCCAAATAGATAAATAAGTTATTATTGAAATAGAAAAGAAAACATTATTACCTGCTATTAACAAATACATAATTATTAATAAATGTTTTTACTTACCTTGATATAATCTCGAAGAACATTGATAAGGGCCAAACACGTTTCAAAAACTGCTTCCGATATAGCCGCTGGAGAAACTAACACAGAAAACTTGATATCTTCGAAGGTTCGACCAGTGGCGAGGTATCTCAAAGTGAGAGCCAATCTCTCATGTTCTGACAAGCAAGTTCTCATGACTGTGTTTTGTCTAGATATAGATGGAGCTACCTTGGAGAGTAATTTGTTAAAAAGATTTTCATCCATGCGAAAATAATTTTTATAATCGTCTAAGGCATTTGTAGAACTTATTTCCCGCAAAATATTTAAGTGACATAATTCGCCACGCTTTTTATACCACTTTTTAACCCATTCTTTTCTATTCACTTT